AGCAAAAAACTATGCATACAGCGTCTGTGTAGTCACAGGTTATTGTACATTGGAGAAACTCGCATGTAGTTGACTTTTGTATCGAGGTCAGCCCTCTAATTACGCAAATAAAAAATGCATTAAGCTAAATATGTGAGCGACTCTGCAATGCATTCGCAGAAAGGTTTCAGGAGGTGAATCGTTAGAAAAGAACATCTCTGCATTTAGATGAAAATGAGCCAATAACAGCTCATCTGTTTTATCTAAGCAAAGAATCCACTGTTACTGTTCTGATGTTTACTCTAAGCCAACTGCCTTCACCCTCTGCATTCTCCTTCCGATGCACACTTTAAGTAGTGCCACTGTTCCCCTCTTTTGTATGTATATGAATTTCTGTAATGTGCACTTGCCACAAGCATGAACAGGGAGTAGACTTCTGAAATAATTCCGATCCTTGGAAGGAGCTGTGTCTGTGGCCATTTACCTCGGGATAGATTGACTCTGCTGACTGAATTCAGATGAGCCTGACGTCTGCGAGGCCTGCATCTCTCTCACATCTATCCCTTCAGTGGGAGTGGGAAAAACTGGCTCCTTGGCTACCTCCCCAGATTTCTCAAGCAGCTGCATCAGACTGTCAAAGGTGACAACACTGGATTTTTTTTTCGTCTTTTTTTCCCAGAGAAACACACGAATAGTTTCAGATGCAAGACTGAGAGTTTAAGGTGCCTCACTGTGACTACAGTAAGCGGGACTGGAAATACGGAGCGCGCTGTGTGATTTCCAGTTATGAGGCACTGAACACCGTGCGTCTAATCAAGCGCGCTGACCTTTTCACCAGCTTCATAAAATATTCATTACTGCTGAAAGTATTCCAGAATGCATACCATACTCGCATTGCTTTTTTATGAGGAATAATCAGGTTCCTCTGTAGAACCATGACAAATGCGACAACGTATATCACCCGATGTGACTCGAGTTTAAATCCACCTCTGACTGTCTCTCGCAAGAAAAAAGAAAACGACAAACAGAAGAAACGTAGGTGAGACGACAGCGAGGCGATTCCTCACCTCGTCTTTAAATGCACACGAGCTGTTAGCACTGAATTTCTTGTGTTAATCAGAAGTAGCTGACTACTGAGCGCTATCCCAGAAGGCTGTATACAGACTATTTGCGAAAACAGCATGAGGACGTATGTCATACTTCATTCACAATATGGGTGTGCCGAGTCCTGCTGCGTCTGTGTGCGCTGACAGCTTGAGTCACGCAGTTTAGGCAAAGACAAAAACATAGCATTGCAGTTGGGGAGAAGCTTGAGCAGATGATCAACTAAAGTGTGTAACTCCCGGGAATGGCATGGTTGCTTTAACGTTTAGCCTGAAAGAAACTTTAAAAGATGGTAAATGGCCTGTATTTGTATAGCGCTTTAGCCTAAGGACCCCAAAGCGCTTTACACATCCAGTCATCCACCCATTCACACACTGGTGATGGCAGCTACATTGTAGCCACAGCCACCCTGGGGTGCACTGACAGAGCTGAGGCTGCCGGACACTGGCGCCACCGGGCCCTCTGACCACCACCAGTAGGCAAAGGGTGAAGTGTCTTGCCCAAGGACACAACGACCGAGACTGTCCAAGCCGGGGCTTGAACCGGCAACCTTCCGAATACAAGGCGAACTCCCAACTGAGCCACAAAGCCAGATGACCTTTGACAGTACAGAAATAATAAACATGTATTTTCTGCAGTTAAGGCTGAGCTTGTAAAAAAATAAATAAAGTAAATTGTTGAGGGTGGTTGAAAAAACACTCGTGATACAGCCAGAAGCCGGATAGTTTATCAAACCCTTACAATGCTAAAGACGCTCTGCTGTACTCCAGAGAATCGAGTGTTAATTATGCACTGCCTCTTCCAGTCCTCTCTTCTGCAGCGGCCTTCCCACCAGCATGTTGTTCTTTGGTGAGCAGCTTTCGGGCTCCATAGTCATTACTTGAACCGAATACCCATGAGTCTCTGCTGCCCATGACCGGTCCAAGTCTACCAAGCCCATACACTGTTTACCTGCAAAAGAAAAAAAAAAAGGATCGAAATATTATTATTATTGTTCTATAATCAGACACTAAAATACTTTTACCTAAAGTGACTAATGTGTAAAAAAACAATATTTAAAATCTTTTTATTTATACTATACTAGATATTAACGCTGCCCCCTCAGTCCACGCACTGACTGAAACATGTCATTTTATCTCATCTCCCAGATGGATCAGTCACAGAGGAAAACCAGGCTGGCAACCTCCCTGCAACTGGGTGGGAAAAAAGAATCAGTCGTTGCACTGAATCTTTCACATTTGGTGACCAATTGCTGTCTAATTTATAAATGTATAGAGACTGCCTACACGCTGCAATCAATGTGATAAGCACAGCTCATCTGCAATACAGGACTCGACTCACCTGGTTGCAGAATGACTGTATTTTGTATTGCTCTAATAAAAGCAAGGTTGCTGAGCACCTGTGACATTTCTGAATTTCCTGTTTCACACCTCTGAGGATGTAAGAGACTAATATGAATCTATGTCTATATAGACTGCAGATTTTCAGGAGTATATCACAGTGCCAATTTGACCCGATTCTAATGCAAACTAATAGTAGACTGTCTTCGTTTTATTGCCGTCTCTATGCACCGAGAGATGGCAATTGACTGCAAGTGGTGGCAGGTATGGTTCCTGTATTAGGAGCAACTTTTTCAAAGGCAATAAGGTTGTAAGTTCACTGCACACTGCAGCAAGAACTTTGGCAACTT